TATATTGATTTAAACAAAACCTTTCTTTCAGGATTTCATCATCTGAAAGCTCTTATCAAATCTTATAGCGAATAAAAAGTGTGTTTAAAATCATTTGTAAAGTTTTAATTTTTTGAAGATTTACTGAAACCTAGATATTTCGAATTAGAAGATCATTGATTCGCAAACTTGAAATTTTTCAATCCTTAGAATGACTTGAAATGTGGTTCAATCCTCAGTGGAATCTTGAAGCAAACCCAGCTTCAGAGCGATGGGTACCAGCTTGTTTCGGTTGTAAATGTTTCGGTGCGCAGTGCTGACCACATTGGTCATCATGCCATTGGTTATGAAATCGCGGAGCCTTAATCTCCCTAACCCCCTTGCCCACAACGGGATGCTGCGTGAATGAATTAAATTTTAAAAATAGGTGAAGGTAGACATTATAAAAATTCCAATTTCTTTTACAAGAGTTTGAATTAACAGAGACATTGCTTGCCAACTTTTCTTAACATTATTGAATAACTGTTGCAAACACGCAACAGTTATAAAAGTAACATATCATTCTCTAAAAAGATATGGAACTTTTAAAGTACTGCCGAATTTATTATATTTGAATATATAACTTTTATTATATATAACTTTTCTTATCGATTTATTATACATAATTTCTTCGAATTTATTAAATATAACTTTTCTTAACATTAATGATTAACTGTTGCAAACACACAACAGTTATAAAAATAGCATATCATTCGCTAAAAAGATATGGAACTTTTAAAGTACTGCCGAATTTATTATATTTGAATTGTTACCCGACAATCTCAATTGCAATTTTGAATAATTGAATATTTCTTTCTCATTTATTATTAAAATTGATGTAAATATTGAAATAGTTATTTATAAGAAGAAAACAGAAATATAATCAATATAATTGAATCCATCAAAGCAACAAAAATCAAGAAAAAGTTATACAATTTTAGTGTATATGTAAATGGCACATTTTGCCGACCATTAAGCGATGCAAAATGCGCTTTGTGATAAAAAGATGCAAGTCTTTTTCATGATTTTGCAAAATCTTTTCTTTTTAATAAAATTTTTAAGTTTTAAGTTTATTTCAGGCTGTACTACTGTTTAAGTAGTTTAAGTCTTAATTTTTTTTGTTTGTTTGACAAAAACGAAAACGTTTTAGAAACAAAAAGGAGGTAATTTCGTAAACATAAAGACAGTTTAATCTTTCGGCAAATTAAATTTTTACTACATAACTTGTGCTCTAAAAGAATTACCTTTTTTGTTCTTTTGAGATGCTATTTTTTAAAGGAAAAACTTTTTTTTTCTTTCCAAATATTTTGAATGCATTTTAAGTAGTGAATTAACTACGTTTTTTTTCCTCTATTTTACATTGACGCATTTTTAATTGTTAATAAAAGCTTTCACTGCCTACGCCGCTAGTCTAGCCTGAAACTTTTTCTTTAAAGAGCATTTATTTTATCTTATGCATTTTAGAATGTGTTCGTCTAACTATACATTATTTGAAAATAATATATTCTTAGGTTATATAGAATAACATAGTAATGTATTAATTTAAAACGTAGAATTCTCTTAACTTCATACTTTAAATATAACTATAATTTTTATTTCATAGTATTCAAAACATAATCTCATAACATAGAAACAAGGCATATGTCTACAAAAAAATCTTAACTATTCAGGTTTGTTTAAGTTACTGACTTTTTATTTAAATTAAACACACTATTTTGATAAAATATATTAAAGGAACACTAAAATTTTATTTCACACGAAACTTTCCACCTCATATTCCCATACTAAAATAATCATATTTCTTTTTGACTAGATAACAATGTAATATAAATATTTTACAACGTTTCTGTAGCTTTTAATATGGCTATAGAACCTTTGATCTTACAGTTTAACCTGCAAACTCTTGTTTTTATATTTTTTGTTATAACTTTAAAACCATTCATTAAATGAACTGGCTGAGACTATTTTTTTCCTTTTCTTTAAGAAATTCAATTAAAATAAATAAAAATATTCGTTTATCTTTACTCAGTTTATAAAAACAAAATTTATAATTTACCAAAAACCAACGTTTTATCAGAATTAAAAGATAATTTTGAAGGAAATTTCAGATTTCTGCTTAGTCAACTTTAACTTTGTACATACTAAGTAATTTTCTTTTATTTCTTAAATACATAATTATGTCATAAATATTAATAAAACTAAAGTCTAATCAAGTTTCTAAACTATCGGTACAGAAAAAGAACCTTTGAGTTTATTTACTGAAATGTGTAATAAAATGAGCTTAACAAATTCTTACTTTTTTAATCTAGATATTTTTTTTTTCGGAATAGCTTTAAAAAAGATCGATAAATGAGCAGGCGTTGAATAACTGTCTCTATTCTTTAAAGAAATTCAATTAAAACAAATAAAAATATCCGCTTTAGCCCATCTAAGGAATCTAAGTCCTTTTTCTGAAAAAAATAAATAAATAAATGAAATGGAAAAAAGAGAAAATGAAAGTCAGCAAAAGTAAAATGAAAATGTTGAAAATCCAATGAAATATGATAAAGATTCAAAAGCATTCGCGAAAAGCTAAGCGAAATCATTGATTATCTTTACTTTTGCATCGCTATTATAGCTTGTCTTTTCACATTTGCGCCTCGAAGTACAATACATTAAGCTAATTAGAAATTCAATTTTACACGCATATCTAGACGAGGAAATGATATAATGGAATTACTCGTGGATTTTCAATGATTGTGGAGAGTTTAAAGAATGAAAATTACGTTTAAATTGTACAATTTTTATATTTTCAAAAATATTAATATTTAAATGAATTAAGTTGCTTCAAAGACAACTAATATTACATAAAATTCAAAATTATTTATGTGTTTAAACAATGATAGCATTATGTAAAATTAGTATGAAATGATTAGGAAAATATTAAAATTGTATTAAATTTCTTTTTAAAAGATCATTCTTATGAACAGGAATTAAAAATTTTAAGTGAAGAAATTTAAGGATTTCGAAAATTAATTCTTTGGTTTGCTGAATCATTCCACCAAATTATCAAAAGTATGTATCACATTTAAAAGTACCGGCTTTAAAATTAAAATGAATAAATAAAATATTTTTCAGTAAGCATTAATAATAATTAACGGAATAACCCCAAGAAACTGAAACAGAACAATACACTTGATAAATTAAAAACCTCATTTGATTCAAAAATTATTAAGGTGGAAATGTTTCAAGCGCTCGAAAACAGCCACCTATTCTCAAAACTCACCAAACGGGAATGAGGAAAACAAAACATATCGAATAAATGCGAAGTTTTAAAAGCAACAAGAGGAAAAGCGAAGTTTTAACAAAGCTTTTGCTAACGGAATTTTTTTAACATATTCTTAAAATATTAACATGATCTTCTGCTATTTTTTAATATTGCACTACTACTTTTGTGGCATTTCTCTCCTGCATACTTTTATTGACAAATGGTACCTTCTGATTTAGTTTATTCTTCAAACTTATTACCAGTGTTTAGACAATAATATTATATTTCCTTAAAATAAGGTTCTCGACGTTGAAATGTAGTGGCTGGTTGCTAAACGAAGATATTGATGTCTTAATTTATTCGTAACTGAGGGGATAGTCTTTAACTAAAGGAAAATCTTTCATACTCATAGATAAAATAATTTAATAAAATATTTTGACTGTCTAAGAAAACAATACATTAAAACAATGACGATTTTCCGAAATCTTTAATTGCTTTGTTTCTTTACTTTTATTTTATATTTCTTGCTGCTTTAAATCTGAACGCGAGTTAATAATTAATAGATCAGTAGACAAAATACCGATTTGCAATATAAATAGATTTTTGAGAAACAAATCATATTTTTAAAGCGTACACTGAGAGAAAATATGGCTAAAATTTCCAGAATATGGTATAATTCACAGTGATTTTTCTCCATGAAAACGCCATAAAGCTTGGTAATTTTCACTGCTGCACTTTGGTAACGATTTTGGTGAAATTAACATTCAAATATAGCGTTCTAATCTATGCTAAAATTTGGTAAATGTGGTGAATGTCTTGAAAATTTTCTTTTCACTTTTGTATTTTTTACAAAATGTGTAGTAATACAAATTATAATGCTGAATATCAGAATTTCAAGTAAACTGTTACCATACTAACAGAAAAATTACCAAATGAATGGTTTTAATACGTTATATTTTGGTTTTACTAACCAGAAATATGATTTTTTAAACCACCAATACCATGCAATGCGGTCATTTTACCAGAATTTTTTCTCCGTGAATAATTCCAAAACTAAAGCGTTTAGGCGATAAAAGGTTTCGCATGCATATTATTATTGCTCACTAAAATTCATATGTTCTACATTTTAAGTCTTTCTTTTCAGTTATTTTTTATCACTTTTTACGAACGCATAAATCCAAATACATAAAATAAATTTTCACTTGAATATTGAATAATAATTTTTTGGTTAAATATTTTTTTTTATGTTTTTTTTTTCTTTTTAATTTTTAGGAGAGTTTGCAAGAAGACCCCATGATGCATGCTCATCCCCACGGTATGATTCTTCGGGAATGGATTACATAACATTAGTAGGTGAGTGTGCATTTTTCATTTATAAAAGCAATTTGTTTTAGATTCATTTTGGAACGGGAAAATTTTTTATCTAATTGAAGCAAGAATGATTTTATCTATGTACTCAAATAGGAAGGAAATGTTTCCAAGCAAATTAAAATAAGTTTTAAGAGCAATTTAAAATATGTTTTCAATCATTGAAACAATAAGTTGCACATTGTACATATATGTAGCATATTATAAATAGAAGAGAAAAAAAACAAGATATAAAGAATATTGACTTTTTATAAAATTATTGCACACATGAAATAAAAAATCATATCCATCGACTACTACCACATACCATCGGCTAATTTCCATTTATATAGGTTCATGTTAAATTGTTTAATTTTTATCTAGATCACTCTAAGGATAATAACTAGTTTAACTTCTTTTGACTTGTTTTTAATTTTATTTGCCTGTAATACATAGTAAATGTGTATCAAACTGTGTAATTTCTGTGGACATAAAGCTATTAACATTTACAGATAGAAAGACAAACTTTTTTTTGAATGATAATCACTGAACTTCTTATTCTTCGCCTCGGAAGATGCCGGAATTTTCGCTCATTTAACGTTACACAGGGAATCCAAGTCATCACCCGATCATCTTTTAACACGCCACCTTACACCCTTTAAAGGGGAGGGGGGGTCATATTCACAACAGAAGACAACACACAGAGAGAAACATTCGTACCCTGAGCGGGATTCCTACCCGTAATCATTGGTTTCGCAGTCAAGCATGCTGATCACTCGGCCACCTGGATGGCAGAAAAATAAACTTTTAGACTGAACTAATTCTTCACTAAATCTCTTGCAATGGGGCAACTTTTGAAATATAATATTAGTAAAAATTAAAACCGCATTGCTTCCGTGGTCAAGGTGAAGCCAGGTAATGTTTTTCAAATGTTAAAATTTCCTTTGAATTAATGAAAATTATATGTAATTTTGTTTAATCGTTAAATACATAATGCTTCTATTTTTTACTGTAATTTTTGCCGGGTTATTTTTGGTAGTTTTCGTAAGTTTTGAAAAACAAATAATTCTCATTTCATTAATTTGGCTATAATAAAGAATAATTTTTTAGTTCAATTAAAGTAACAATATAATGGGTGAAAGTTTTTGCAAGCCACTGTATGTCTAAAATCCCTTGTATTTTTTAAATAATAAAAATTAAAACAATTTAAATCATGGGGCTTAGATAAATGCCATGAGCGATATAAGGGATTAAGGAATATATATTCAAGATTTTCGTGGTTTGTTTTATTATTTGTAAAAATAAATTCCAGTATTTTGAGTTAAGATGGTTAAAAATATCATATTTGCCTATAGCTCAGAAGATCAGATAAAATATAGTTCCATTTTTTTTTCTTTTGAATAAATTTAAAGGGATAGTACAGCCCTGAATATTTTAAAATATCAACATTTATTTATTTTTAACTTTGAAATGTCGGATCTCATAATTTAAAGAAAAAAATTAATGCAATTTGATATCTGCTTTTTTGAAATATAGCAATTTATTTGCTTTCGTAAAATTTAAGTTTTGTTTTCAATTTTTATGCATATTTTTTTAAAAATAATCGCAATAAGTAGTAAATTTTTAATTTTTTTTAAATTCTAAAAGCAGAAATGTTAAAGACAAGTTTTGATAATTGTAATAAAGAACATTTTAAGTGACATTTAAAAAACATTTCTTTTAAATTTTAAAATAAAATTCTTTTTTTTAAAATGTCATAAAATATTTCAGAAAAAAAATCGTTAAATGGTGCAGTAACACACAAAAACTTAAAACATTTTTCAAACAATTTTTAAAAACTGTGTCCTGGATAATTTTTTTTTAATTCTTAAAATTTAATACATTTATTTCATTTATTTTTCCTTTCAAGTTATTTTTCTAGACTTTATAATTTGTTGCCGAAGCATTTTCTCATGTACAAATTTTAGATATGATTTATACGATAAAGCATTAATAAATCCCTGACACCTTCATTTATCCCCTACTACGGTCGTAATACGGAGCGAAAATTTGTCTTCATCAATTAACATGATCCTAGTAAAAGTTCATGGTTCGTTTGCACTTCATATATGACAACTGTCAACTTAAAAGTTTCAGGCTTGCTAGTAAACTAAACAATTAAATCAGGTTAAGTGGAAGAAATATTTTTAGAAAATATTCTCATTTTGAATCAGGAGCCTTATGTATTTTAATTAATTTTACTTACATTAATTAATTCATTTAAGTTGAGACTCACGGGATAATAAGGCTTGTTATACGAAAACTATTCTGCTTTATTTAAGGTAAAATAATGAGCTCATTCACTTAAATAAACTGTTTTTATCGTTGCTATCCATTGTAGTGGGTATTTTTATGACTTAGATGTAATCTCAATATTAACTAATTATCATACATTAATATTAAATAGTGTGAATTGGTTTTTTATAATATCAATTACTTACCATACATTAGTTATTACATTTATGCAAGAACTCAAGAAATAAAGAATCTTATGAGAACAAGCAATTTCGCTTTAGTTAAAGTAAAATTATGTTGCTATTTGCGTAAACTGTTGTTTTGATAAAAAAAAAATTAATTGTTATTCGTTGTTAGTTTATTTTTATAACTTAAAAATAATTGAATAATAACTAATTAATTTTAAGTGATTACAGTAACTACCCTTTACAATAACTAACATTATACGGTTATTGGTTCTATTATTTAATTAACATATATTAATAGCAGCATTTATGAGGAAATACTGTAATAATAAGACTTGTTAAACGAAAATGGTTATGCTAATTTGTTTTGTTTAACATAAAATATTTTAATCATTTGTTTAGACTGTTATTTGGAGAAAAATATTTTGTTCTGTTATTCATTGATGGAGTATTTTCATAAGACTTCAAAAAATTAATAAATAAATGAACGGTACATTAATTATTTTTACTTGAACAAAAATAAATTCTCGCTGTTTTTATTTGTAAAAATGGCCAAGACTGTTCATACTTTGTTTCCCTTATAAACAGTTTTTTAAATAATTCTTTTAAAAATTTAAAATATTTTTGATTGATTTCATTTCTTTAGTAAATAAGGCTACTTATAATACTGTTAGATAATAAGCTTGCAAAATAAATGGACTTCATTGATGACTTAATGACTCTTAAAAACCAATTACTAATCTATATATATATATATANTATACATATATATATGCGTTGATGTCTGAGATGTACCTTATTTATCAAAATTAATATTTTTTTACAATTTTTTTTAATATATTCTTAATAAAATAAAAATCAACTTCTAGTAATAACTAAAATATTTCACAACCTCTTTTTAAAATTTTTTTCTACATACAATTGTGAGTCCTCTATGATTTCCTCCGCATTGGTCACGTTTTTGATTTAGCGTTTATATTACTTTACAATATTTTCAACGACAACTTAATATTTTTTCCATTCTAATAAAAAGAAAGGTTTGATCTTTTCATTTGTGAAAAACTCTCTAGTGGGAAATTATCCGTCTATTTTAGATAATGTGCAAAACTGTTTAGACATTGCTTTCTGTCTAAAATTTCTTTAGTATTTTTTTTTACTTTTAAAAAGTTAGATTTGTTATTTATAATTATGTTTACAGTTATAAAAGGAATCTTGCCAATGTTATAAACAATAAAATAGCGATAGATTTCGTGAAAAATGTAGTTTTTTCAAAAAGTCTAAAAGGCTACATGCTCTAAAATATTTTTTTTTACTTAAGGAATATTTATAGTTCATATTTACAACATATTATCTGAAATATAACATTATTGAACTTTACTTTTCATCCAAATTTTACAATCAACATAAATGGCTTTTAATTTGTTGTTTTATAAAATTTATATTATGCTAATAGGTTAAGACACTTGAAATGTTGACAGACACTTTAAATTAGATTCTACATAAAATGTCAATTACCTAATACTGTAATTATTATTAATACTGTTTTTATTATTTAATTAAACTTTGTCTTGTGACTTATTTTTTAAAAGATAAATATTTCGTTAATAAGTTCATAAGAGAAGAAACACACACACACACACACATGAAATGAAGGATTTAGTTTCTTATGCGTTATTTGTAAATTTTTTTTTACACAAAGTATCAATTTATTTATAATATCAGCCACGTTTATATTCACAATATTTTAATTATTATTTAATAATGATAATTTTTATCATGAATTTCCCCCGTATTGTAATAATTATCATTGTTGTTTCAGCTCATTCAGCTTCTGTGATAGCTTTATGCCCGCAATTAGTGGAAACTGATGGTCTAAGGATAGCAGCTAGTAAAAATCACATACATTCTGACCAGTGCCACGATTCAGCGGTTAAAGTTGTTGGATGTAGAAGTCATGAAACTTTGGAATTCCTAACAACTTGTGAAACAGTTCGTGAACATATGAGTAAGTAACTTCAATAAGCCTAAACGAGAATTTTCAGTTTCAATGTAACATGAAAAAGACAACAATTCATATTATATAAATATAAAAGAATAGTATTGATGTGAATAATATATAAATATTATCAATACAAGTTAATTTTTAAAGCCATAACTGCAATATAATTTAATAAACCAAGGGCAAAATCTTCTAAATATTCATTATATGAAATGTGTCATAACAAACTGGAATAAAAGCCGTGAGAACCTTCGAAGAAATCTTCGCACCTATTTGGAAAAAAATACTAAAAATATTATTTTAACAAATATTTTTCACTTAACATAATAATTTAGAACAGACTATTCATTTGTGAATGTTTCTGTTCAAATGGTAACGATTTACCAAAAATTTTAAAAATTATTCAGTGCTTATTACCACGCATTTCGCAAAAAGTATAAAACTGAAAAGTTAATTTAATAGAATGAATGATTTTCATGAATGCTCTAAGATATCATCATAAAATTACGAAATTTTACCACAATTACCATTTAAGCACATATTATAAAACCATATTTTATTTTCAATTTTGTAATTTTACCAAAATAATTTCCAAAACGCTTCGGTGAAAAGTATTCTCTTAAGTCCAGTAAATTATACCTTATTCTGGTAATAATAACTACACTTTTTTCTCAGTTTATTTTTTATTTTAATGTAAGTAATATAGTTTGGCTGGTTTATAGAATATTTTGTAATATAAAAATAATATCTCATAAAGAATTTTTAAACCAACTCACGTTTTGCCAAGTTAATTGGAAAAACTAATATTATTTTAAGTGTATCGAATTTAACGGTATAGAGCTACAAATTCCTGAATTATTTCAGTTCAGAAATAATCCTTTTTAAATTAAGTGCAATGCTGTCAAACTTAATTAAATTTCGCTAAATTATTAAAATATTCTCAGAATAATTCATTTGAACTTTCAGAACAGTCTAATTACTTTAACCTGCGTCTGATAAAACTTGCTGGAAATTTTAACACAATTGCATTCCTCTAACTTTTGGAATAATTTATTTGTTTGAACACGATTAGTTAAAAAAGATATTCATTGCATTTTACTTAAAATATAAATTTGTAGACAGTCCTTATACATCTCACTGTTCCTAAAAAAATCTAAATCAGAACTATACTTTAAAGATTGATACAAAAGTTAAATATTTAATTTATTTCAAATTTTAATTATCAGAAAGCTTTTATTCACAAAGTACTGACTCGTGTGAAAATGTCACGCAGCTAAATAGCGTGTACATAGAATGATAAATTGATCGAGTGAAAATTTATTATGACGTGCAGAGCAAGTAAAAGCTTTCAGACACAAAAATATTCATTCAATCGTAAAATAGGCGGACACGAATTAGTGAAAGAAATAATTACAGTAACACGATACGTGCATAAAACAAATTTATTAGCTTATTTTTTTTACAATTCTGAATGCTCAATATAAATGATTCAGATCACGCACAATCAGCTATGATGAAACTTTCAATTATTTATGATTGGTTAAATAGTAAGGAGTCAAGAATCACTTTAAAACAATAATAAATTAAGTTAAGGGGTCAATTCAAGCTGGCAAATATTCACACCACCAGGTTAAAAAGCGCCATTTCGAAGATTCAAGCAAAATGTTTTCTAAAAATTTATAATACACAGAAGCTGGGTATTTTTTAACCAATGATTATAATTTTTTTTAATCCTCAGTGTTTTTTTTAATTCTTTGATTATAATTTTAAAATGCATATTTGTTAGATATAGTGTAAAATATTCAGGATCTAATTATGATATAAAGTACTGGCACTTTGGAGGCATCATCCGTGAAATTGAGATTCATTTTACCGTAAAATACATTTTTACCGTAAAATATTATACCGTACATTTTACAGTATTATTTAATCCGTGATTTCACGATCATTATTACTCTAAGAATTACGTTGCATCAGATTTATGTTACGTTACATACATGTCCCGGTAAAAATGGATTTTACGGTGAAACTGTACTGTAATTTTTATGATTCGATCTAGATTTTTATGATGATTATTAATTATCTAGATTCTTATGAAGATGATTAAAAAAAATAATAAAGAACTTCAATTATCTTGTAAAAATTTCTTTAATTAAAAATTCAAGCAAACGCTTTGATTAAATTAATTTAAGTAATAATATGGCGAGTAAGACTTGGTGGCTAGCCATTATATATTTTTTTCAATTTCCTAAGCCTTAAGTAATTTACGCATACAAATTTAAAACAAATAAATAAATCTTTTAAAAATATGTACATAAATGCTGTATTGAATTGAGAGCTCTAGAATCTCAAAAATCTCTAAAAATGGGTTCGCAATAGCTTTTTTTTTAAAAAAAAAAATCTGACCGAAAAGCTTATGTAGAGTTTGCTTTATTTTTTATCAAGGTCTGTGTAATAAAGTTAATGCATAAATTAATGAAATGGATTTACTTTTGAAACTGTTTTTAGCTTTCCAATGCCAAGGAACATGGGAAGAAAATGGACGGAACTACCTCATTGCTGGACTAAAAGGATCTAAAGTCCGCTATTGTTTTGTAAGTTATAAATTTTTGAATTTTTAAATTTCTTGCAAGTTTCCCATTTTAAATTAATATTTTTGCAGATAAAATTGAACTATTTACAAATGAAAACAAAATTGTAGCAAAATGAATTTTTAACTTTAGATGATTAAAATAGACGGAAAAAATTGTAACATGATTTATTTTGCGATGCATTAAATTTTAGGTTTGCATATTTATTAAATTCATCAGGAAATCCTAAATCTATGATTTTTTTATTGTTACTAAAAGTGATTATGTGGAGCGAAAATAGTTCTGAATATCATTTTCATCCTTCACTACTTCAACACTCTACTTTTTCATGTACTATATTCACAGTAAGGACTTTTTTCTGGAGAAAAATTTAATACTTTCAGTTCAATTCAAAAACAATGCTTGCTTTCCAAAAAAATAATAATTGCAATTACCAGATTACATCAAAATTATATGAATTAACTCATAATTCCAGATTATATCAATAAATTTCCAGATTCCATTAATTACCACAATATATCGATTTCCGGATCTACAATATAAACATAAAAATGTCTTTTCTGAATGTAGTATGAAAAATATAGATTCTTTTAAACCTTAACTTTTGTTTTACGCCCTGGATAAAAAGATAAAATTATATCATATGCCGTTTAATGGAATATTGGTATATGTTGTCCTTACATTTCATGCACTTAGAATAATAACTTGGAAAGTATATTAAATTATAATTCTAGAACAAGCTGAATGGCAATTTAGTGAATGCGAGTTCAGAAGAGATGAAAACTGCAATAGACGATATAACGCGTTAAAAACAACATTATTACCGATTTTATATATATTATTCTAACTATCAAATATTTATTATTTTTAAAACACTTTTTAGCCGATCAACGTTCTCTTTATATGATGTTTTTACGCTGAAAACTATTTTTTCTACCTATTAAACAATCTGTTTCTCAAATATCTAATACGTTTAAAATCACATTTCAACGGATAAAGCGTTAGTTTTTCTTAGTATCTATAATATTTAAAACCGTATTGTAACCAATCAAGAGTTCAGCACTCTGTATGGTCACTCTTTGCTATAAATCATGAGTTTTTGGTTGGTTACGGGAAAACTAAGTAAACAAAATAAAGCTTAAAAATGGAAGTTTTAACAACTTTGACGTGAGTATGTGTTTTATTTTTCATGCTTGAATATATTAAAACTTTATTATACTTCTAAAATTACTTTTCTTAAAAAATTTTAGCAAATATAATTGATACTTCATTCACCATGGAATTGTTCAGGTTAAATTTAAAAATAATTTTACGAAATTTATATGTAAAAGCTTCATTTTAACAATTTTGTAAGAAGTACATAAATTAAAAATCAAAATAACATCTTCATTATTGTATCTTGTTTACAGAACTAAAAATCTTAATAAATAAAATAAAAAAAACCTTGTCGAATAAAGTAGGAATTTCATAAACTATATCCATCACCTTATCTTAGGCTTGAAAAAAAAAGACTTTCATTAAAATACTTTTTCACTTAAAAGTTTAACTTGGTCATTAGAACAACGTGTAAAGTTTCTTCGTGAATATCAAAATACTTTTATCGATGCCTAACAAAGCATTTGGCGTGCATGTTTAATAAATGCTGACTAGAAATTCCCACCTGAATACCTTCCATAACTCATTAATATGCAGACGAACAAAAGTAAAACTCTACCTATTACGTGAAATTCGATCATATCAAATATGTTTATACGTATATATTAAAAAGAAAGTTGAGATCTTTGAAAAATGCAAATTCAAACGCAAATCGAGAATATTCCGAGTAAAACTATCGTTTGTAAAATTCACTTAACGCCTGAAACTTTTTAATTGCGTGACTCTTTCGCCATTGATAGAATGTTATAGAGCTTTCCTTTGTACCTTAACGCTCAAACGATTCTTAAAAACATGCTTAGTATGTAATGCATGCAAATGTGCTACTAAACTAAGATTCTCATTTATGAAGAAACGGCGTAAAGTAAACTCATTAGTAAGGGAGCTCTTTGAATTAAAATTGTATCAATGTTGACAGTTTTTTCCCCTAATATATACTAACTTTGATAGCTATTTTCCGTTTTAATTCCAGAATAGTTTTATTTGAGTTTTTTTTCTTTATTTCTCTTTGTTTAGTTAGGTTTAATGATATTCGGTATAAAAGAAAGTTCCCGTTTCACTGAAATCCATCTCAATGTAAACATTAATATTTATTTAACCGTCAAAATTAACTTTCTTTTATTTTGAAGCTTTTTTTCATTTCTTTTTTAATTATAAGCCAACTAAAAATACTGATTACGGAACAAAAAGAATAATAGCTCGGCCATACAATTGTTATGACCATGATTTTTCGATTTCACTTTATAGAATATAAATATGATTAAAAAAAATTAAAATATGGTGGATTTTTCAATTTTTTTAATAGTAAGGTCAAGAAAGAAAAATTAGAAATACTGTAAATTCAGTAGCTAGACTAGGCAAATGTTAAGAATGCACCATGGGATTAAAAATGTAGTATAATTAAAAATTTTCATTTGCAATTCGTGTAATATAAATATGATTACCTTTCTTTTGTAGCCGTATTTTTTAAAGTCATTTTGTAACCTTTTTTTACTAATAACAATAGAAATAAAGAAAGATTTATAATTACCAGTAGTGGATATGAAGGAAGAACACAATTTGTGCTGAATATGTAAATATGTAAATAAAATTGGACAACCTGAATAAAACACGAATAAAGACACACAAATATACATCTAGTTATTGTTCTATTCCGAGCTAGGTTATATATACAGGGTGTCTCAGTTAAGCGTTTGAGAATTCCTAAGAGTGGTAGAGTGCATCCTGACTACTCGAAATCATATAGCAATGCAGGGTCGGAAATGCTTTCCTGAAGCGGTAATGTACACAGAAGCACCATAAAGAAAAGAGACCGTAAGTGAAAAATCGTTTTAATAATACATTGAAATAAGCATAAGGTACATGGGTCAAAGTAAGTGTTCGAAGTTTCTTCTGCTGCCACCGGCTACAATGCACACCTCACATCTCCGGCGTATGGACATCCGAACATTCAGCAATACTCCAAGCATATCTCGAATTTCGCCGGCAGCTACTGCAATTCTTACAACCAGCTCCTCAGCATTGTCAACAGGGGTGCCATAAGCCAGCGTTTTCATATGACCCCAGAAATTAAAAGCAAGACATGACAGGTCGGGGGACCGAAGAGGCCAACGCACTGGAAAGCTCGAAACTTTCGTACAACGCCATCTACCGCCTCTGAAAAGCATTTCCGACCCCGCATTGCTATATGATTTCGAGTCGTCAGGATGCACTCTAACCCTCTAGGGAGTTCTGAAACGTTTAACTGAGACACCCTGTATATATATATATATACTTGGAAAATTACGAATTAACGTGTGGTCTTACGTACATAAGCCATGAAAAATATGAGGCCATCTTTCATCACCCAAATTGTAAAAAATTAAGAATCGAAATATGGTATTAAGAATCGGTACGTCATAAAATCCATATTAAGGTAATACGGTATAAAATCTATTTAAGCGTACCACGGTATGTAATCCATTTCACCGTGGAATCCATTTCCTACCGTAAAATATTGTATTGTAAATTTTGCAGTACTATGTATTTATTTAGTATGATTCAATCATTTTACAATAAATATTACTGTTAAAAATACGCACATAAGTTTCTAGCTCCGTAAAATCTTACGGTAAAAATGAATTATTGATGATGAAAATGAATGATCCTGATTTTTTACTGTGTAACAAATCTGAAATTCGAATCTAAGTGTACGATTTTTTTCTTCTTCTAAAATCAATCAACACTTTCCTTTACCAAACATAATCAAGATAATTCGCACTTAAAAAAATTATAATTATTGAACTCATATCCTTTCTAGTATCCCATTCTTGCCTTATAATGGGAAATATATTTCTTTTTAATTTCGAGAACTTGCCTCTCTGAATTTTGCACAATGCCCCCTCACATGTTTCTTATCTTCATTTTTTTTACGTTGCTTAAATTTGTTTCCCATACCTCACTTTATTTTGTCATATTATTTCAACAATCATTTCAATTCCGCCTACACTTGAACTACACAAAACCGAAAAACCATAAAAACGACAGACTTTGTTTTTAATCCAGAATACTCTTGAATTACACAAAGTAAAAATTAAATAATAATTTATTGCGTTTTGTACAGCCTACTTGTTTAAACAACATTAAATTGGAAAACAATGGATGTTTTTATGCTAACCTGTTTTGAACTATTATTTAAACAAAATTTATTTTATTTAGCTTAAAATGTATTTAATTTAATAATTAAACCATAAATTGAAATTAGTACAATTTTGAATAATATCATACGAAAAAGTTAGTATATTTTATTATAAATAAATATATGTAGATATAAATGGGTTTATATTTTCTTGCCACCCTTACAAGTGCGTAGAAGACTCGGCTCTTAATGAGATTCCAAAAGACTGTCATGTAAGTAGACTGCATTAAGTAACTGTCATTAATTCTTGGTTGCTGGATATTTTCATCTAAGTAGACATCATTAAATAATTGTCATTAAACTATACTAATTTAGAAAAGACTGCCATTTTAGAAAGATTATAATAGCTTAGTTATTTTTAGTTTGTAGCAAAATTTAAATAGGATTTAATGCACATTAAAAAAGTAACATGATTTGGTATTGAAATTCATTTTTTTCCTTTAAATTAATATTTTTGATGACAAAACGAATAAAATTTAAATACTGCTTAAATTAAAAAGATTTGAATTGATTCAAAATGCGTAAAAAGTACATTTAAATATTCAATAAAAACAATTACAATATAATTACTTTTCAAATTGTTATCACATAAATATTTCTGGATTTACAACCAATTAGTAAAACATCTTTAAAAACGCTCAAAGGTATTCTTTATTATTATAATATTAATATATGTTCAACACTATTAAAATTTTATTTTCGAGCTGAAAATGAAAATAATGTAGTGGGTAATGTGATAGATTGTTTCGCGATAATTTTTAAAGGTAATAATTATAAATAAAGGTAAAGGAGCATATTAGATAAAGGAGCGTAAGGATAAAAATAACATGTTATTTAAATTTATTAATAACTTTAAATAATATGTAAAACTAAACATAAACGTAGTTGTAATAAATTAAATTCCAATCGTTTTAAATTTAGGTAAATTAATACTAATTTAGAACTAGAAATTTTTATTTATTGATTAAAAGAATGGTCTAATTGATTTGAAAAAAAAATCATAAACTTTTTTTATATACCTTACTTGAAGATCATTTAAAATCACTTTGAAACTACCTCACCAGCCAGTTTAGAGATTTAATAGTGATAAATATTAGGTTGCATGAATTTTTTTTTTTTTTTTTTTTTTTTTTTTTTTTTTTTTTTTTTTNTTTTTTTTTTTTTTTTTTGGAGAAATTTAAAATTTCCAGTTCATAAAATTTGGCCATAGTCATCCAGTATTTACCTGCATTTATTTAGTGCAATTGGTATATTTCGGTATGAGGTGCAAATTTTTACTTTTGGTAGAAAAACGCAAATTATAATTTTTTTTAAAACATAAATATAATACAAATTTTAGGTTTAGAATTTGACTATAAACGAATAAAGAAACGTAACAATAAGAAATGTGTATGAAATGTAACATAAATTAGGTTTCTTCCGTTGAAATTCTTACATCCTTGCGATAGTTGGAAATATATATTATATCTTTTCTTTGTTTTGTTTTCCGAATTTTTAAAACTTTTTTTTTAAGGTATCAAAAATTATTTATTTTTTAAATACTTTTGAGAAATATTTTTAATAATTTTCTTCTCTTGTCATTATTTTTTATTATTTTCCATATTTTCTCAATATTTTTGCTTATTTTATGAGTTCTATGTACTTGCAGCTTATGCGCAGTTAATAAAACTTATTAGTTTTCTTCGTTTTTCTCTTTGTTTTTATTGTGCTATATATATATACAAAAGGAATATATATCAAATAATATATCAAATCTCCAATGAAAATACGTATTAACACAGGCTGTGAGACGACCACTCAAAATCTTACATAAGCAGAGAACGCCCGGGTTGCTCCATTAGATGTTATGTATCAAGTAGAAGTATGGTGAAATTTGTATTGAAATCCTATTATAAAATCCTTTGAAAAGTGTGGGATTTCAAATTCTTTGGATGGAGGTGAAAACGATATTTTTTGGGACTCATTAGATGAGGTACCATTGCAGATAGGGGTCTGTATGAGGACATGGCAGGTGATGTTCTGGAATCTTAAAATTTTTAGCTTTGTGGTATGCCTTAAGAAAAAATGCAAAATTAACTGCATATAGCAATCTTAAAAATAATTTTTAAAAGAAGTAAATGGATATAAAGTTATTCAAATCTATCTCCTTACTTATAATGCATCGATATTTGCTGATTCAAAAGCTGACCCCTGATTTTTGTAAATTTTTGGGAGTTCAAAATAGTCGACTTATACGCTGGGATGTACAATATTATAAAACACTTTAAACAATATTATATAACACTTTTTCCTTTTAAGCGTAAAAAACACTGTTTAGGAAAATCTTTTTACCAGATTAAAAATGAATATAAGCAAATCTGGCAAATAAAATGGTGTTTATATTAAGAATCACGTCTATATTCCTTTTGCAAACTTTAGAAAAATAGAACTGATATATCTATATCAGTTCTATTCGAATTGTTTTAAAATACTGAACATTCGGCTTTCCCAAAACAAAAACATTCGAAGTTGTTTTGAAAGAGTGAAGAACGAGATCAAAGTAAGCGAAAAGAGGATTAAATCGAAGTAGGAAGAGATGTATCTAAAGTACAACAACACTTGTCATAACCAGTTTTGAGTTACATATATCTTCACCTGTGTTATAAAAATGATTCTCTCTTCCAAGATCAAAGTAAATTTTCGAATAGTACAGTAAAATTTACTCCCAGATGAATGAAACTTTCGATTTGTAAGGGTTATTATATTGTTGCAAATATATGTAATCTTATATTTCTTGTTTTACTTTGCAGATTTATTATTCCAATCCGAAAATGACACAATTTTCTGGTTTGCCGGATACTTGCAGAAGAACAATTGTTCCTGGATTAACGGGAAATCTTACATTTAATATCACTTCGGCAGGTAATGTATACTAAAAGAAATGATAATCTCTAATTAGCTACGCAGTTTCTATGCTAAACACAAATTTTCTATTTTAAGAGAGAACAGCACTGTAACATTTGTTATCAATCAAAAAAAAAGAAAAAAAAAAGAAAAAAAAACATTTTCTTTTTAATCTTTTTAAATGGGAATGCTTTTGAACGGGATTCATGGATCAAAAAATTATAAGTAAGTTAAGTATGCGTTAAATAATTGTAACCAAAGTTGAATATACATTGAATAATTGTAAATATACGTTGAGTAATTCTAAAATAAGTTATAAGTTAAAAATACGTAAAATAATTGTTGAATAAATAGAATGTAAGTTGAATAATTGTTGATTAAATAGAATGTACGTTGAACAATTGTTGAATAAATGTAATGTACGTTGAATAATTGTAAAATAAACCTAAATATAAGTTGAATAATTGTAAAATAAGTTGAATAATTCTAAATTAGTAGAATAATTGTAAAATAAGTTGAATAATTGTAAAATAAGTTAAATAATTGTAAAATAAGTTTAATAATTGTAAAATAAGTTGAATAATTGTAAAATAAGTTGAATAATTGTAAAATAAGTTGAGTATACGTTAAATATTATTAAGACACGTTGAATATACTTTAATTGTAAGACAAGTACCAACGGTGGCCTTATTTATACCCTGCTTCTGATGGATAGATACCAGCTAGTTTAGGAAGTAAAGGCAGCCAGAGTGTAATACTGACCACTTTGCCACAATCAAGCCGTTGGTAACGAAATTATGGAGCTTTAAATTTCATGGACCCATCAGAATGGAGGCATCGAAAATTTTGTGATCATTATCCTTCATTATACTAATGTCTTTTTCTTACAAAATCTCATAGGAGAGCAGTTTTGAAAAGGGAATTATTTGTTTGGAAGGATTCGATAGATTAAAAAAAAGCGGTTATAATAGATTAATTAAACACGATCTGGGTGTCACAAATTCAATGATTATAGTCATTCATTGTAATGATGTCCTTTTCTTATATAATTCCATAGTAAAATACATTTAAGAAATAAAACCATTTTTTTAGATATGATTCAGTAGATTAAAAATAACGCGATGAACAAATATTTTTACAAATTAATGTAGTTGAAACTTTCTCCCAAATCCTTGTAACGAGAATGCCTTTGGCAGATTATTCTAATTAAAATTAACCTTTATTATCTGAAATATATTTTCAAAAACTTTTTTCTTGGCTTGAAGAGTGTAAAATATTTTTGCATCATTTTGCATGCAAAAACATTTCGACTGTTAAATTTTTTTTGAAAAATATTCTACACCCATTAAGCTTTTTTCAAAATATTTAAGAAAATATCAATTCGAAAACTGATTTATTTACAATTACTGAAAAGCATTATCACTGGTAAATTATTAATGCAAATATATTACGATGAATTGAAGAATCGAGTTTTTTTTAAAAAGAGATTCAACATAGTCTAGGGAAAAAGTCGTCATAATCATTTAAAATAATGAAGTATAATAAAATATTTTTAATTTCGTACATCTTAATCACGTGAATTTATAATAATCAATCTCTGTAAAAGATTATAATGCTACTTGCAAAACAAGTGTTTTGTATTCCCTATTTTTAGTCTTGTAAGAAATGATTTGAAATTTATCTTTTAATTTTACAATAAGATTCCTTATTGAATGATAGGTCTTATTAGATTTTTTTAATTAAAATTTAGAGACTTCAATGGAAAAAAAATTATTTAAAAAAATTATATTAACAACAATCTCAGTATTATAATAACAGATATTTGATGACTCTGGGAAATATCACACAAAAACTCATCGTCTGGACAATAATGTTTTGTTTGATTACACTCTTTTAGTCACATTCTTGTTTTTTATTATTTTTCTTTTTTCTTTCTTTTTGCATATATTCTCTGCAAAGAAAAAATTCTTAAAGATTTCTACAAAAAATGCAACTTCTAAGCTGAAGTATTTATATTTTTAGGTAATAAGCCTCATTATTCTAACTTAGTCACATTATTCTATTTAACACGTATTATTGTTTCTCCCATTGCTTACGAAATTCATCACATTTTTATTAGATAACAATCAATTTTCGAGCTAAAGCAATATACGATAGACTCGTTTTATTTTCAAAATATAAATTTTTATTGATCAAGATAAAGAGCATTGCGAATTCTAGAATAAACCGAAACAATATATCGTTACATAGAAACTTCGTCATTAAAACGGAATATTAACTTATAAACCTAGACAAGTTTTTGCTGCAAAAGATTTATTTTTATTAAAAATGTATTAAATACTGAGTCGCATTTTTGGAATTAAAAATACTGCGTATTAATAACATCTTCGGTCTGTCATATTTAAGTACAAGTTCTACGATGCTCTGAAAGGTAAGTTGATTTTTTTTCTCTGGCTTTTATATCATTATATCCAAAAAAGTAAGTTTAATTATCCATTATGGATACCACATGTATTAACATCAATGTTAAATTTTTACAGAAATAATTACCCATTGAAAGCAAGTATACAATTACTTACTTACATTTTTTTAACAATGTCATTATGAAATTAATTTTATTTTGAGATAAGCTTGAATTATATATTATTAACTGTCATTCTTTCATAATATTAGGTTATAAATGCTATTAAAAATGCATTTCAAAAATTTATTTTTATTATAATGATTATTTAAACATTAAATTATTTTATCGAATATCTATTTCAGATTATAAAAATAGAATTAATAAATAATCAGGAATGTTTTTATTTAAATTAACGAAAACAAACGTATAAATGACGCATTCAATCAATTTAAAATATAAACTATTTTATGTTGATTCAGTTTAACTTATGATTTTTCCAGTAATTGCAAAAAAATTGTTTCGGAAGTTTGTTTTCCATTTAATTATTTTTTTAAAAAAAATTTATAACTTCCAAAAAATAATAATGCATAAGAAAGTATTGAGATTTTTAATTTGAACAAAGAAAAAAATTTTGCATTCCTAAGCAAGTTAGTTTTTAAAAAAGTTAAAGCGTCAAAACATGCCTGAAGTTCTAAGCCGCTTGTTAATCAGCGTTGTTCTAAGATTTGCTTCAACGTTTTCTTAATCAGCGTTGCTCTAAAACGCTTTTCTTCCCCAGAGCAAATTCAAAGAAATCTTCTGAACTGCTCATAAAATCATTTTTCATACCAAATTCTTCCTTAGGGAAAATTCAATATGTCGCATCGATTCCATGCTAAAATTCAATTTTCTCTGTTCCTTGTTTTACTAGAGTTATAACTCTGTGGGAACCGTCATTAATGAAATATGCCACTGGCATAGTAGAAAGACTGTGTTCTGAAATTGGAGCAATTGCACCCGAAACCGTTTCGTGTTAACGTTATTAAGATTGATAAAAATTCTTGTTCTTTAAATGGGATTTTCTATTTACTTTTTGCGTAATACTGTAAGTTCTTTAATAAAAAGTGTCTTTCTATTGCTAAGCAAGTAAATAACTGTTTTAGTAATTCTCTATTTATTTGATTTATATAAATAAACCAACAGGAAAATGAGAAATTGTATTAAAACTCCAGTTATCCAGCCCAAATATGCATATTTCTTTGATAAAATATCAGCAAATATATTGTTTATAAATTTGCAAAAAGGAAAACAACATCGATGATTACGTGGTACAAGTTAATTGGATAAAAGTTAATTTTTAAAACTTTCCAATTTTTCTTAAAAAATATTAAATGTATAAATTAATTTGTATATAAATAGCTGCACCCCTGTTAATGTCATATTATTTTTCTATGAACGTCATTTATTCATTTATTAAGTACTGTACATAGACATAGGTGCGCCCTTAGTGCAAAATTTATAAGCACTCCCTAACTTAGACTTGCCTTGAAAAATTTAAAATTATTATTTGAAACAAAAACACCGTAGTGAAGATATATTCGGATATTTATAATCATTAATTGCAATTTACTTTAGGAAAATTAAAATAGTAATTGCAATAAAAAGGCAGAATTAAGGTACTAAATTGAATTTCGGTATACATTTACGGTATCGAAATAATTTTTTTTTAAATGGTTGAAGAAACTAACTCCCTATCTTACATTAATTATATTCTTTTAGTTATGAGTAATAAAGTGAACTAAAAAATATTTTATAAAGAAAAAATATTTTCCTTTGTACCATAGAGTTATTTTTTTATTGCGCGTGCTCCGTCGAACCACATGTGCTCCCCCGCAACGAGGGTTATGTTATTTACGCCATTGTATTCAATTATTGTTTTAATCGTTAAAGCTAATTAGTTCCATTTCTTTCCTCTTAAATGCATGAACTAAAGGTTAAGAATAAGAATGAAAAAAAAATTGAGATGGAGCATAAAATTATCATTATATTCCTATATGCATAAAAGGAAATGATTTAAAAGTTTTTTGATAATATAATACAAGCCACATTTAAAAACTGTTCTGTAAACTGTATATAGGGAATTAAAAGATAAATTATTTTACGTAATTTACTTTGCATCGGGAATTTTTAATCATTAAAATGTTACGACATATTTTTTTAAATAAAATATCAATTAGCACGTTTTGTTGCTAGCTTCACAATAATGCTTTTACGGAAAATATTTAATACATTTACAAACATCAAGCGCTATTATATGCAATTATAAAATAGTTTTTAAAGTAAGCATTATAATTTTTAAAGCACTACAGAATTAAATATTTTTGTAATTGGTATTCATATGTTTTTGCTTTATAGAATCACAATTGCGTAGGCGTAATTTAATATATTTTGAATTATATTGTGCAGTAAAATAACATTTTAGCATAAATTTCAATAGAAGCAGTTAAAATGTCGATATTTTTTATAAAAATAGAGAAGTTTACGACAAGAAAAAATTAAAGCAGAATGTTGCTAATTTCTAGCTTACCTTCAAAATTTCTAACCATGCAAATCTCGTGGGGAACTGGTTTTTTTT